CTCTCTCTCTCTCTTTTCCTGGAAACTGTGGCTACTGTTTAATGGATGATTAACTATTGGTGAATTCGGTCACTCGCACTAATTGTATCAATAATATAAATTGAATCAATACAAAGCTATTTATATAAATTAAAGGCTATTTTATATAAATTATCTAAATGCATTGGTGAAATGTAATCAACTTTAACAATGAAATTATACATGTTTATTCCATTAAATAATGTGTATAAGTATTATTATCAGGTATTTAATTGTTTAACATATTTGTATGCTTTTACATTTAACTTCGTTAACTTTATGTATAGTAGCTTTTAGTATTATATATATGCATTAATTTGTAATGCAAGCAACTGAATTCACTAAGTACACATTAAACATATATATTATCTGTTTTTATATGTTCTATAAAATATTAGTTTGATCGGAATTAAAATTTGAGATCACACAGCATTACGCGGACGGATGAGCGAGTAAGAATGGAATAAGAATGAAACGATTACCTGAACAATCGTTGCTCAATGCAGGTGATGTTACTCGGTGACAGCGGCGTTGGAAAAACCTGTCTTCTGACGCGTTTCCGTGACGGTCGCTTCCTGTCGGGAAACTATATAACGACCGTCGGCATTGATTTTAGGGTGAGACTTTAGAGATATTCCATTTTACATTTACCTTGTACACGATTAAGAAATAAAGCTGACGAACTTTTGATTAATGATTCTATAACAACGAAGTGCATGTTGCTCACATTGGACGACGATATCTTCGTGACTTATTAAAGCCAGTCCTCGTGGGGCTACAGAAATTCAAAGAAGTATCTTTCCTGCCTTTGCAGAACAAAGTTGTCACCGTCGACGACACGCCGATCAAGCTGCAGATATGGGACACAGCCGGCCAGGAAAGGTTCCGAAGCGTGACGCATGCTTACTACCGAGACGCACATGGTAAACTCTTTTCTTTTACGTAACAATTCTGTTTTCAATAAAGATCGAAATTGAAATTAGTAAGGAATTTAAAGGAATTAATTTGTAAATAAATTAAATACAAATATTTTTAATTTAAAAAATGATTGCTAATATTGTGCAAACATCACGAATTATGCTCAAAATTGGATTGTGTGTGTGTGGTTTATATATATATATGTGTGTGTGTGTGTGTGTGTGGATATATATATTGTTTATACATATATATATTGCTCATTTGCTGCAACAATAAATAACTTAAAAATTGTCATTTTTAAATTCATTGCAAAAAAAGTATGAAAATATAGAGAAAGAAGAAAAAAAGATATTTTAAAAGAACACTTTTATTCCTCTGCAATTAGTTATTGCACTAAAATTATATTTTAAAATTTATATTCCAAGATTTTAATGATTTGAAACATTCAAACTCATTTTCTGGAAATCTTTGCTTTCTGAGTTGTGTCATTATTATAATAAATGAGCGTGTTACACACACACACACACACACACACACATCGCGATTAATTTACCAGATTGAAATAAAATTGACGCGACGATATTCTTAATTAGAAACATGTTTATCACAGCTTTGCGTCATTAATAAATACGATATCATTGACAAAGATTTTCCACGTATATATTTTGCAATATCTCGTAACAATTTAATTATCGCGTTGTAAATGCCATCGGTCTCGAAACTGTGCATATGTTTTACTAACTCCTCGTTTTACACAGCGGAAATTAATGAGAAACATCTCTCTTGGCAAAAGATATGACGCTTTGGAGCGTCGGATGTTTAATGCATGCTTAGTTTAATAGGGGAGCTTTTCTCTTACAATTACGAAATGTAAAATTTTATCCGATTATTATTATTACCTCTTATGCGAAGAGTTTCAAATTTTGAATTTTTCTTAATTTGCGAATCCATTGATTTAAAATCAATTTTTCCATAATAAGAAAATGATGATTTGATTCTATATGTTTTTTCTAATTAATTACATAAACTTTCAACAATTTGAATTATTGTTATTTAATTTTATGTGTAATTAATGTCTATTAATTTTCGGAACTAATTTCGGAATTAATTTTCGGGTGTTTTAAAATGTTAAGATATGTATACGAAGAGTGTGAAAATTAATGGATATAATTTCGTGCTTTAGAATTCGAGTTTTTTAAATATATTCTTTCCTGTTTTTCAAGGATCTATCTATACAAAATTGGTTTTGGGATTGGGAATTTGAAACTTCTTGTGCATATAACAATGAACTTTTCAATATACGGCGTAGAACAAACGCATTACATTGGTGCGTCTCCGGGGAAATCTTAATTGCTCGTCCCGACTTTGTTGTTCACATTCGAATCCGAGACGAATCCGGTCCGTTTCCAGACTTAGGATAATCAATTTGAGACGTTACCACTTATCACTCACGGCGAACTCAACTTTACAATGCATGAACAATTCGTAACTTCCTAACCCGAATCCTGTTCTCGATTTTGTTACTCCGCCAGTTTTGGCCAGGTGCCAGATTCAATTTACTTATATAGATAGCGGAGAAGTAATACAGAGAGTCTGAAGGGGAAATCTCATTGTTTATTCGTTCGAAGTTCTGAAGTTGTTTCGACAATAACGCTGCGTTGCATCTCAACTTCGAAAGCAATCATTCCAGTTGAGTGAATTCGACAATAATTAGATACTCATTTAGAAGATTAAATCATTGAGATCACACGGAATTGAAACGTCCAAAGTTCAAAAGTCAATTGATTTTGTAATTCGCAAAACGTTTTAAGCAACTATAGTTTAAATATAAAATAATCAAATAGTCAATATATCTAAAAATTTAAACGTAATGTTAATAAGATTTATTTCAAAATAATGTTCAAAAGTGAGAGAAAATCGTGTATCTAATACAGATGATAATTTTTTTGCACTTTTGTATTGAATTCGATTATCGTTTAATGTATTTTTTTTCATATGTATAAGATGTAAATGAACTCATTTACATACTTTTTACTTATAAAAAGTTTCTGACCGTCGCATGACATAAAGTCGATTAGATAGTCGATAAAAAAAAAGGCAATTCACAAGACTGCGTGTTCCAGCGCTTTTGCTGCTGTACGACGTGACAAATAAGACGAGTTATGACAACATCAGAGCTTGGCTAAGCGAAATCCGGGAACACGCGAACGAGGATGTCGTCATCATGCTGCTGGGTGAGTTGCGTTTATATTTATGATTCCCGTGATGATACGATAGATCTGCCCACTTGGAATGGTCGATCGCCGGGAGGCTAAATGCCAAAAATAAGGACCGCAATAATGATTTAGCGCGTGGAGATAAGAACTCAGGAGTGCGATAAATGATTCAGATTTGATATTATCGGTCAGCTTATCTCAAGCTGATATATACATCCAGTTATCGAATCCAATTTAAATAAAAAATTTACAACTATATATATAACAATTCTGGAAGAATCGAGTTCAACTCGTAGCGTTTCTGCTTAATGCAATTTGGACTGCTTCGGAAAGCAATTAAGATCAATTTTTACAAGCTCACGTTCAGCTAGAAAATGCATTCGTTATAAGTGTAAAAAGAATATAAATGTTATCAACCATGACGTAGCTTTACGAGTAATTTTTAGCTTTCAATTCAAAATCCAATTTTGATTCGAATATACATACGTCGTGCGGATTACTGGTAAATTAACCTTAATTGCTCATGGGCAGTCGAGATCGCAACGACTGAGAACGCTGTTAGCTTCATCATGGAAAAGCTGGATATTTTGTGGTAATTTATCTTCTCGTCGCTGTATTAAACCGCAGGTAACAAGTCCGATTGTGGGACGGAGCGTGCCGTTAAGCGGGAAGACGGCGAGCGATTAGCGCAGGAGTACAAAGTGCCGTTCATGGAAACGTCTGCCAAGACTGGCCTCAATGTCGAATTGGCGTTTCTCGCCGTTGCTCGGTACGGTCTCGACAAAATCGACGAATCTACAATAGCGTGAACGAACAATGCTTGAATAAACAATGCTTGAGCAAACAATGCTTGAAACTGCACTGATTTTTAATCAATTTCACGTCAACGCTTTTTTTTAACTTCAATTTTTCCATGTATCTTTGAAATTGAAAGTTTTAAAACTCAAAAACAAATAAAAAATAGACGAGTTAAAATAATAGTTTGAGCTTGGAAAGCGTTTCGTGTATTTATGGAAGGAAGACTAGAGCTGGATAAAATCGATGGAACTAAACGATACCGCTTGTTTTCAGGGAGCTGAAGGCTAGAAAAAGCGACGATTCTGATGGGACGAAATTCAACGTTCAGGACTACGTGCGTCAGCAGTCGCAACGAAGCTCCTGCTTCAACTCCAGCTGCCTGACAACTTGAACTGCTTTCCTTTTTCACGTTAATTAAGAGGACACGCGAACTGGAACCGCATTGGTCGCGAAGAGATACGGCGCGAAATTGCCATTGCGAGCCAGGCATTCATTTGATTTCCGCGTGAAAGAGAGCATCGGTGTAACATTCGTTGCGGAACGGTATAAATTTTATACTCGATTCATAGAGTAACTTTGCGAATAAACCACAACGCAGACGGAGCGATTCGAGTTCGTCGGGTGAATCGAAACCACAGCGCGCACCCAGTGGTCAAGATTTTCGGGAAACACGAGGCATTATTTCCTTCAACAAAAAGTCATCAATATTAACGCAATATGTGATACCAAAGGTTCGATGAGTACGAAATTGTTTGCGCTCTTAAAAGAGTCAAGGTCAAAGAATTGAATTTTTTTAGCATAGCGTCAGAGGGAATACGAAGTCCTCGTTAAACGTAAGAAAACATGTGTCAATGGTTACTCGCACACGTTGTATATTAATGTGAATAGTTCTAAGAGGCTAGAGAGAGTTTCACACGCAGGATACCCTCGTAGATAAGGCTTTAGCTTGATGGTTCTAATTTCATGTACGCCACATCCGCGTACATATGCATATATATATCATTAAGCGCTCAAAGCGATCATTAAACGATTGTTGAGCATAAGTTGTAACGTCGATTGTCGTACACCGATTCCATAATCGTTCGTTACGTCGTGCTCCATTAGCGTTCGCTGTTCGCAACAAAGGAGCGCGAATAATCTTCGATTTGCATACAATGTGCTTATTACGAGTTATAGCCCAGTGCGGTTGTGTTTCTTTCGCGGTGCCTGCGTGAGCGAACAAAATGTCAATGCAAGTTCAGTCGACGTACCAAGTAGTTGCGAAGTAGCGCGTGTCGAAAGAGATAGAGAAAAAGAGAGAGAGAAAGAAGTCACATCTCGTAGGAAGAACGTTGAGAAAATGATTCGCAGCCACCGTCAAACGGAGTGGCGCACGAATACGCTCAAGTTTTCCTATGATTAGTGATTACTTCCTCCTCTCTTCTTTCGTTTTTTTTTCTTCTTTAACCGATGAGAGTACGTCACAGATTTCTATACGAATACCATTCTGATAGCTACTAGCTCTAACGAAAGTGAGGTAAACAAGAAGAGGATGACTGTCATTTTTAACGAGTTCAAAATCGTCATCAACGTCAGCATTGAACCGTAAAATCTTTTTTTTTAGAATAGTCGGTGTTTATACCAATACTATTTCACCAGATATCGTTTGCTCTTGAACCGACTTGTAACAAATTGCGAGACTGTTGGCGATTTAGATAGTCCATAGAAATCTCTGAAGTACATTTTGTGATCGCTATCAAGCTTATAAGCATGTTTTATAATCGACAAACTGATATTTATGTAATATTAGAAAGAAATATTAATGCCAATTGATCGAAGGTAAAATGGTGTTATCCGCGACAACAAAGGAATCAGGAAATTTATCGATCGTTATGATGTCAGAGTTCTAAGCAAAGTTGAGGACCGCTGTCTGTTGAAGAGTCAATAAGCTTAATACTGTTTAATAAAGCTCTACCGACGTTATTGCGAAGAATCGTTTAATTACTTTTGATTTTTCTAAGTCTCTATTTTGCGATAGAATTAACGGAAAGTACCAAAGACGTACGGATGTTAATTTTATTGTAAACGGAAATCCGGAAATTTAGAGTCGGTTTAGGTAGAAGATTGAAAGATTATATCACGTATGTTACATCCTGATGTATATGACGTGCAATCTGTTTTACCTGCAGTGTACAAATGACAATTTCGTGTATCAAATATATATCAGAAGGAATATATGAAATAAAAATCGACCAAACATACAATATATACCTTTTTAATATTCCCATCTGTTTCCCGGTCATCACAATATTCATGAATTAATTTTTTTTCGATATGAACTCGAATAAAAACAGAATCGTCAAATTTGTTTATCCACTATGTGGAAAACAGAAATATTTTGTGTTTGGGATTTAAAAATACAAAGGTTTCCTTAATCAATTATTTTTAATAAAAACAAAATACAAATTATATCTTTCTGCAATTTTTCGGAAGATAGATAACGGATTGCAAAAAAACTTCCATAAATTATTAGTAAAGTAAATTTATTACAATCCTAGTAGTTTTTGTATTTTTTGGTCTCAGTTAATCATACATTAAGATATGCACCAAGCATTCATATCTAGGGGAAAATAAAGAAATGAGATGTAAGAAGTATAAAACAATCGGAACATATACGAGATTCGCCGCGCGCACGTGGGTTTCTTTTTTTTTTTATTTAATTATATATTACATTTATAATATTTAGACCCGATTGCATCAACGTTACTTTGATTTAAGCAAGGCTTAAAAATTTCTTTCTTTTTTTAAAGCCGATAGAAAAACAAAAAGAGAGTTAAACCTCGCTTAAAATTAATGTAACGTTGGTGCAATAATTAACGTTGGGCCTTAATTATATAAATATATAAATAAAAAATAAGCTTTAGTTCCCGCTATCTTGCTCCATCTATTTCATTAAACACGCTGTACGGTTCTTAGGTGATCTCGATTAAATTTCGATTATCTTAATCGGCGATTAAGTTATAATTGGAGTTTGGTCGAAGTTGTTTTTATTTTCTCTAGTATTTTTAAATTAAAGTGCATTTCATTTCCTTTTTTTTCTCAATGTTGATTGTGCGGTCATTCAATGTGTATACATGGTTGTAAATGCATATGAATATTTACAGTGTGCTCGAATCCGTGGGTACGATCAAAGCTAAATGACCATGCAGATCAGATCAGAAAGAGAGAAAAAGAGAGAGAAAGTATATGTATGTGGGAACATAGCTTATAAAATAGACGCAGCATGTTCTTATGATAGAAGTAAAGCCGATAGAACAGTGAGAGATACAATACAAAACATCGGTGAACCTCTATCCTTCTCTTATGCGCGGATATTGATAATAATGGAGAAGAATAGAGATTCTTCATTGTTGTTTTGCTCTCACTCACTCTCACTGTTTTGTCAGCTTCGCTTCTACCGGAGGTATGCTGAGTCTATTTTATGAGTTTATAGTCCTGTTCTATTTAGCTGAACTTTTTGCATGATTCATCTTTTCTCTTTTTCTCTCCAACATGAAAAGAAAAGGAAGAAAAATGAACCGTGCAAGAACTTTAGCTAAAAAGAACAGACTTAAGGTGCAGCCACAATAGAAGGAATAAGGAATTAGGAATAAGGAATAACGATTCCAACCTATCAGAAACCGTGTATGCCGGTGTATCCGATATCTGATAAGTTGAAATCTTTATTCCTTATTTCTAATTCCTTATTCCTTCTATTGTGGTTTCACCCTTATGGTTGAGAAGTCAAGGAAAAATCCCTCCGAACGGAGCAGCGTACGCATGCGTAACGTATATCATTGATCATGTGATCAATCTCGACAGACTTGTGTTCCAATGGCTACGTTCAGCAGAGAAAGCAGCTTTGCAATGTTGTAAAATTCTTCAATATGATTGGTTTATATGTTTAGATCTAAAAGGAACCAAAAGCAAGAACCAATCGTATTGAAGAATTGTACAACAATTGCAAAGAGCTGCTTTCTTTGCTGAACGCAGCCAATTGTTGCCCATAGTGCTTCTTAAGCTGGTTCTGCATTAGTCGCATCGCAGTGTCGCAAGTATTGCGGTCCAATCAACATCAAGCTAGCTCGATTGAACCATAAAGGCCATCACACGTACAAAAATTTTAGTCGTAATCGTAAGATCGCAAGCAAATCGATCAATCACAATCAAAATTATCTCGCGTTTTAAAACGCTCGATTGTGATTGGCCGATTTGCTTACGGCCTTACGATTATGACTAAAATTTTTGTACGTGTGATGGCCTTAAGGGCCATGGCACACAAAAAAAACTTAAGCAGTAAAACGTAAGCAGTAAGCGAATTGACCAATCACAGTAGAGTCCATAAGGCCATAACATAAGCAGTAGCGAATCCAACATGTTGATTTCCTTACTGCTTACGTCTTACTGCCTTAAGTTTTTTGTGTGCCAGGACCCTAATGTGGGGTCTACAATAGAAGTCGTAACGGTCGTAGGGTCTTAAGTCGTAGAAAATTGACCAATCATAGTCGAATATGAGAAGAATAATCAACTGTGATTGGTCAATTTTCTACGACTTAAGACCTTACGATCGCTACAACTTCTATTGTAGACTCCGCATTATAATTATGAAAAATTGTACGACAAATATAATACTATAGTCTAATATTTTATTTGTCATACAACAAATTTTTCAAATGTATCGATTAGGTACAAGATAGAGGATTTCTAGAAACTCAAGAACTTTTTCATTCTACAATTACACACGATGAACATACTAAAAAATTTGTCATACGATAAATGAAATATTAGCCTAATAGCTCCTGCACACTGGACGCGGAAATGCTTACCGCGCTGCAAAATGTAACCAATGAATATGTTAGGAGTTATAAGCTTATTGGTTACCGCGTCGCATTTTGCCACGCGGCAAGCGTTTCCGCGTCCAGTGTGCAGGAACCATAAGGCCCTTGGATCTGATGAGACATCTCTGAGCGTAGCCAACGGAGAGTTCGCCAAGCGTCTGATCACGCCATCTTGGCGCATCGTAGGCAAGTTGGACGCGGAAACGGTGCTCGCTCGCTTGCCTCCAGTGACGGCAATGATTCCAAGTGACTTCAGTTAGTCCAGTTCCGGCATCCGAAGCCATTTCTAATATCCCGTTAGCGCTTACGCCGCAAACACAACGTGTCCCTAACCTGGGAGTCGTTGAAAGACGGGTGGTACGTGGCGTCGGCGACGGCGTCCTAATTGTGGTGTCGTCCCACGCCGAGTTATCGTAGTCCACGATGGACGAGAATGTAGTGGAGATCGAAAACGAGAAGGAGATCGAGAACGAGGAGGAGATCGAAAACGAGGAGGAGATCGAAAATGAGGAGGAGATCGAGAACGTGGAGAATGTCTGCAGACTGTGCCTTTCCACGGATGGACCTAAATCTTCGGTGTTTCTAACGGAGGAGGAAAAAAAGGAATCGTCCAACGTGCCGCTGGTTGCTAAAATTCAGGCCTGCCTGTCGATCCAGGTGCGTATCTGCGCGATTTGCATTCTTACTACATAGGAATCAACGGGACTTCCTTGATGCGAGGATCTCGATCATCTCGCGACCGACAAAGCCTCGCCGAAGTGTACCGCTTCGCGACGCGTTTTAAGGTTATGTCTACATAAGGGTCGCTTCAGAAACGAGAATCGTGCAATCGGACTGCTCCTCCCAATCGCATATTACTCATGTTCCATCTCTTTTGATCTCTTTCCTTCTTTTGCGATGAAGCGCAATTATAGCGTCTATCTCATTCTTGTGAATAAACAAATAAAATATTTTAAGTCATTTTGTTGGATACGTCTGTTAAGTGTTAAGAGTGATATATGTTAGGATTGTTAAACAATATCAGTTGATAGAAATTATTTTAGAGTGAGCATTGTATTATAAGGATTGTTTAGTACCTATTTTTTAAATATTAGGAATTTAATAAAAATTTTACAGATTGTTTTTCATATGTTCAGAGATTTATGACAAAATTTGGAATCGATTCACTGAAGCGATCCAAAGTTATAAGGATTTAATTTGCAACGAATTTATTTAATACCTATTTTCAAAATATTAGGAATTTAACAAGAATTGTACGGATTGTTCTATTTTTACATCTGAGTATTTATGTAAAATTTGAGTACAATTCTCTTATTAGTTTAAAAATTATTTAATTTTTTTTCTCTTATATAAAATCATAATTTGATGAGGAAGTAATATTAAGAGAATTAAATTAAATTTTATATATTTACTAATAAAACAACAATAAATATTTATGTATAAGTTTATTTAGATCCACTTACTCGTTTCAAAGTTATTGACCTAAAACTGCGGACTAATATGGTTATTTTGTTGCATAAAACCATTATAAATCAAATTATTTTGTTTTTTTGCAATTGGTTTCATGGGCTAATATCATGAAAATTTTTTTAATAATATTGGTTGATATTAGCTATTTTTGACTGATTATTAGACTAATACTTTTAACTGGTATTATATAGACAAAATAAACATCTTTAAAACAGTATTAGTAAATATTTCAAATATAAATTGTATGTGAAATCAAGAAATTAACTAATTCAAAATTTAAATTAAATAATATAACAAAGAAGGGCTACGAGGGCTACGAGCCTAAAACAAATCGTTTAATATAAATTTGACTTACATAAAATAAAGACAAAATAAACAACAAACGTTTCGACACAATGTCAGGCCATTATCAATGTTGACGGAAATTTATAATTATAATATAAAATTAATGGTTATAAAAATTGTTTACATAATCAAAAAATCCTATCATAAGATGTTCGCAATAAACGCAATGAGCCAAATCCAATTAGATAAATAAAATTCATAAGAGCGTTAAATTAAATATATATTTTTCACATGAATGGTCCAATAAGATTCTTATTGTTTAAGTATTTGTTTGAAGAATGGACATATGCATCACACACATACGCGCGCGCGCGCAACTTTAATTATTAGAAGCAAAGAATATGATATATTTCACCAAGGTTTCAAATATTTACTTTTGTAAATTTTATATTTTATGCGTTTGAGGTAGAATATATGTACGAAATTCCAAGGAAAGAACACAAAACAAGAAAATTGTAGAATAGAATAAGCTTAGCTTTATTTACAGTTTTTTTATTTATAATCTGAAATTTTTGTCGAGATTTTTTATTTAATGATGAATATGCTCAATTTTTTAGATT